TATACACACATGCATGCATGCATACATACATACATGCAACTGTGCATACATACATGCATTCGTACGTACACACGTACATGCATGAAATATACACAGGCATACATACGCACACACGTACACACATGCATACAATCACACCTACCGACTTACATAGATGTTTACATGCATGCATGCATGTATGCGCGCCTGCGTGCATACATACATACATACATACATACATACATACATACATACATACATGTGCATGCACGTATGCACGCATGCATGCATACATGCACACACACACACATACATGCACACGTACACCCGCACATACATATATATAGTATACATATTATACATGTATTCCATACACACAAGCACACACCGATCCTGGCAAGGCCCATCATGAGCCCAGATCGGTGTATACGCCCTACCTGTTTCGTCGGGAAGGCGTACCCACCGATCCCGGGCCCAGGATGGGCCCCGCCAGGAACGGTCTGCGTGCGCGCGGGCCGACATTCCCGCCGTCGGCGCCTGTCGTGGGGGGCGAGAGCTGTGCTCCTCCCCCGTCCTCCTCGTACAGTATTAGCTGGGGCCTGGCGCCTGTTACGCGACGCCTGCTCCGAGCTTCTTAGTGGGCGTCAGGGGGGGCATCGCCCCCGCCGACAGCCCCACATCGACCCCCGTCGCGGACGGCCACCGCGGGCCGAAGGCGCTCCGAGCCCCCGTCGCAGCGCGACGACGACGCGAGGCTGACCCCCGTCGGGGGGGTACCTCCCCACGCTCATCAAGAAACCCAGAGTAGATCGGGGGCGGCAAAGAGGGGGGTGTCCAAGAGGGGGGGGGGTGCAAACCATGACCGGCGGCATGTGCGCGGCCCAGCGGGGGGGCCAGGGACGTAATGAAATAAGAAGAGGCTCCATAAAATCGGGGAAAAAAGATCATGGCCCCCGCCATGATATCCACCCCCCCTAGTCATCGCCCCCCTCTTTGCCGCCCCCGAGCAGGGGAGGGCGCTCGCGCCAGGAGGACGGACGCCCGGCCCTCCCGCAGCAGCTGCCGCCGTGGCGGTGGGAGCGGCCGTGGCAGCTGCGGCGGCTGCGGCACGGCTGCCGCGAGGGGAGAGGGGCGGGCGAAAAGGACGACCTCGGAGGTCGGAGGTCGGGCACCGCAAATCCCGCCATCGCTGGGCTCCTCCTCCTCCTCCTCCTCCTCCTCCTCCTCCCCCTCCCCCTCCTCCTCCTCCTCCTCCTCCTCCTCCTCCTCCTCCTCCTCCTCCTCCTCCTCCTCCTCCTCCTCCTCCTCCTCCTCCCTCCTCCTCCTCCCTCCTCCTCCCTCCTCCTCCTCCTCCTCCTCCTCCTCCTCCTCCTCCTCCTCCTCCTCCCTGGGACGTCCATTCCTTGTTTTTTGTCGGTTTCATGCGTGGCTTTTCCGCCAAATGATCAAGGATGCTCCTCGATGGTCCCCACCGAAGGAAAAATGCACACGTCCGAGCGGTGCCGAGAAATTCGGGCGGCGTCCTGAGCAAGAAGCGAACGAGACGCAGCGATGACGGCGGCAGGCAGCACGAGCCGACAACAACGGGAGCGGTACGTGTTTGTAACATCTGTCCTGGTACACCCGCGCTCCAGAGAAGACAGCGTCAGGGGGGTACGATTCGGTAACGTGGGCAACGTGCTGGCATCGTGTGATGCTGTGAAGATTGACGCCTGCCCACTCCTTTGCTCAGCTAGCATCGCCCCTGAATTGAATAAATCTGGGAATTCAACTATTGATGCTGGGCCGCTTGAATTACGCCTGGGCCAGGCCGGCGGAAGGAAAGCCGTGTAGAGCAACCGAGTCCCCTTGCATGTTTGCTGCGTGACCAGCACGCGCAACATCACGCCTATATGACTGGCACTGCACGCAGGGTCGATCGCAGTGTTGGGATCGGGCCGCAGCGACGGATGACACCGCCGAAGGGTCTTGCGAGGACCTACCGAGAGGGGGCAGACGGGGAGCTCCAAGTGGGGGCAGCAGGCCTGATCCGAACAAAACTGCACACTGGGCAGGGCAGCGCGGCCTGGATGAGCAGAGGCCCGGGGATGAGCACGAGCAGCAGAGGCAAGCGCAGGAGAGGGGCGGGGGAGATCAGCAGCGGCAACAGCAATCACAATCACAATACAAAGTGTGCTCGGGGAGACCAAAAGGTACCGGTACCGCTGCTCCCCGGACCGCTCCCGGGGTGCGTTCTGACCAGGATTCCGAGGCGAACCCAGCGGTGGCTACGGCAGAGGCCCAGGAGGCCCAACAAGACGAAAACGAGGGCAGGGTAGAGGTATGGGTACTCGTTCCTCCACGGGAGGCCCAGACGGGAGGCCGAGGGAAGGGTAGAGGGATGGCCGTCCAGGAGGCCCAGAAGGGAGAAAACGAGGGCAGGGCAGAGGCACGGGCACCCTTTTTGGATGCTCGTTCTGGGGACCTTCCTGGAGCCACTCGCTCCACTCGTGCGTCGAAGCTGCGTCGAACGTCAGTCGAGTTGGGTCGACCCTGAGTCGAACCTGAGTCGAACCTGAGTCGAACTTGAGTCGAACTTGAGTCGAACTTGAGTCGAACTGGGGTCGAACAGATCCGTTAGGTGGGCTCCAGGAAGGTCCCCGAAACGAGCATCGAACCCTTTCCTCCTCCGAGTTCCGGGGGCCAGTGAGAGCCTGCGCCTCCGGCATCCCGCGCTTGAGCAGCAGGTCCAGCGGGGTGCGGCCAGCAGCGTCCCGCAGGGATTGGTCCGCCCTCGCGCGCGGGCGAGCGTCAAGTCGGGCGTGCCCCCCTACAGGGGGATTTTCGACGAAAAATAAAAAAAAAATACACCAAAAATAGTCCAAAAATAGTCTGGGGACTATTTGTTGAGTATTTGTTGGCCTTCTTGGGGCATTTTTTTTGTATTTTCGATTTTTCGTCGAAAATCCTCCTGTAGGGGGACACGCTCGACAGAAGGCGAGCGGCACGCCGCACGCTCGGCGCCCACCGACCTGCTCCCCGTCCGTCCGGGCTCTCTCCCCCCCCGCTAAAGAGAGGGCGGCGGGCGGGACTCGGACCTGGGGAGCAACAAAAGAGAGTGGGAGGCGAGGGAGCCAAGGTAGGGGAACAAAAAGCGGCGTAAACATAGAAACTCGGAGGTCCGCGCGGATTTCTCGGGTCGGCGCTGGGGCTCCCCTGCGGCGCCTCCGGCGCCGCCCTTGGCGCGCTCCGCGCGCCAGGGAGGGGGCCCCAGCGCCGATCCGAGAAATCCGCGCGGACCTCCGAGTTGTTATGTTTATGCCACCTTTTGTTCCCCTGCAAGGGGATCGGGCGCAGGGAGGACGACGAGCGAGGCGGAGGGTGCCGAGGAGGGAGGGGGGGCGCGAGGGGAGGTGGCCGAAGGAGAGGCCCGGGTCGAAGAGACCCGGGAGACCCCAGCTATCACCACCACTTTCATCGCTCTTTCCGCTCCCGCTGCCCCTCCCCTTCACCCTCCTCCTCCTCCTCCTCCTCCTCCTCCTCCTCCTCCTCCTCCCACTTCTCCTCCAGTCCCACCAGCCCTCTGGGCGTGTGCGATCCAGCGATTTGGTGAATTCGTTCCTCCCACCCCCCTTTCCCCTTCGGGAAGGGGTTCATCAAGGCCCCATGCCAATAAACACCCCATCCCACATTCGACCAGCGACAAAACAGGGTCAATGCTGACCCCTCCGCCATCCCTTACGCCACATCACACAACGTGTCAGTTGTTCAATGTCTGGACTACGTTCGGGAGCTCCGCGATCACCACTTTGCAGCGTGGGTTCGCATGGACGTCGGGAGGACCATCATGTAAACCCACGAGTGCAGGCCGTGCATTACTGACAAAACAAGTGCACAGCACACGCCGCGGCAAAATATTTGACTATGCGCGGGCGGTCCAATATCATAGCATTGCGACTTTGTCGACCCGAAGATGGGGGTGCCCGCATATTGTTTGGTGTGTGTGTGCGGGCCCACCACCCCTGTCAACCATCATTGCAACGTGCTCGCGGGCGCACGCACCGTGCTCCATGCTGACCACCTCGCCGCCGCCTCGCAGAGGCCTCTTGAGCAGGACGATGGGATGTCGGCATGCTTCCTGGTGTTTGCTGTCACGTGCACTGGCGCACCTGGCACGCTCTGACCGCCGCGACAGTAGCGCAACTGGCGCGGGTGGAGCACGCGGAGCACCTGGCGAATGCGGAGCCAGCGGCACATCTGGCGCACCTGGCATGGCGTACCTGGTGCGAGAGACTCACCTGGTACGCGCGGCGAACCTCCCGAACGTCACGCACCTGGCGTCTGTCTTGGTTACCACTGGCAGCCCATCCAATGTCGACCCTTACCATTGCTGAGACTCGGAGGCTACTTAGGTGGTGGGAGGGCGGGTGGGAGTGAGCGAGGCGGTCATCCTTTGGGGGGTAGCTTGACCCCTGCACCAACCCCCTCCCCTGACGTGGGGACCAGGGTTTCGCAGGGTGCTAGAGGGTCCAAGATTGCCCAAGGCGGCATCCGATTGCCCAAGATGGCATCCGATGTGGCACGAGATAGCCTCCACCATGTTTTCAAGAGGCCTCCAAACCGTCACACGATGGCTACAAGTGGGCACGGACACCCTGAATGATCCCCCCGAGATGCCAACACAATTCAAACACGCGTGCGTTTCATAGGTTGCTTGCCTTATCTGATTGCCGCTCGCGATGGGCTTCCGAGGCCCCAAGATGGCTCCTCTTTCGCCCCAGATAGCCTCAAGAGGGACCCATTGGAGGCTCCCAAATGGCGGCTCGAGGCGCGCCCTAGAGCGAGCACCGCTTCTTCAAGATGGCCTCATACGCTTAAAGATGGCCTCCAAGAAGACGCAAAATGGCCCGATGGCTCAAGATGGCATCCAGCTGGCCTCCAGGAGGCGCCACTACGGCCCAGAGTCTGCTTCAAGTCGCCGCGGAGCTCCCCCAAAAGATATCCCCGAGAGGCCGAAGCCGAAGTCATCCAACATCAGATTC